AAGGGCTGTGCAATTTCCCCCAGATTATGTGACATCATAGGATACTGTCCCAGATTTTAGCCTGCTTGTCTCCCACTCACTTGGAACACAGGGAAGCTCTAAGGTCCAAAACTGATTTAAAGATAAATATTTCACTGTTAAAACCAAATACTGAGTGCAAGCTACCTCCAGAGAGGAGTGTGGGCCTTTCTTGCCTATTGCCTGCAAGAGCAAGCAAGAAAGGCAGGCTGCTGGAAACCTAGGGCTTTAGCATGGACAAGAGGAGCTGTGCTCGTTTCCCATTCTAGCAGAACCGTAATCTGCCACCATGAACCAGTCCTTTTATATTCTTTATTCTGCTCTTTTCTCTCCTGGAACAGGACCACACATATACAAACAGAGCAATTCTGACACTGAGTGAGACTGCAGTACTTATGTGCAAAGATGCTCATGCATAAGGTGTTCTACTCAGTCTGGGCGAATCTGTGCACATCTCAGGCTTGGTGGAGACACTACATGAAAGCAGAGCAGCAATTAGAAGTCCAACATCCATGCAAAGAAACCCCCACAACAAGAATAAAACAGCCCACAGCAGCAGGAGAGAGAGGAAAAAAACACCCAGGCAGCAAGGCAGGGAGCTGTTGTCATGGAACTGACTGGTAGTTGCAGGCACTGGCATCTCAAATTACGTCTTGGGGTAAAAAACTGCCAGAAAGAGACAAATGATCTGACTTCTCTCGAGCTGAGAACAATTAGAGATAGGGCAAGAGCTGGACAACTGCCTGGGGATGTCTCAGAGCTACCCATGCGGTGCTCCCCTTTTCACATCTTATAAAATAAAATAATAATGTCATGTAGCTTGATAATGCTGCTAGAGCTTCATTCCAGGAGATGCCATATATCAGAAGATATTACCAAGATTTGGTAAGGCTGTGCTACCTCAAGGGATCAGAGGAAAGAGAAGGAAAGCCAGCCAGCAAGGATACACTGTCCCAGGTCATTCAAAGCAAGATTTGACCCATACCTGTCCTTCACCAGGCACCCATTCTCTGCTGTCAGAGCTTGGTAGGAAGAGATGATGAGTAACACAGCCTGGTGACACTTACTGAGTATCCAGTTGACTGAAGTCCTTTGGTTCCTCTTGTACTGCAGCTCAGATGGGTAAACTCTGCCTTAACCCAGTGCCTGAGTGGTTGATGCCTGTGGGAGAGGTGCTGGCTGAATCACAAGGTCCAGCAGAGCACCAGGAGCCTATGGAAGCAAACTCAGCGATGCACTTCATGAATGGCCTGGAGGTTGCAAGAGAAGCAGCGTGGAGAGGTAACCATTGGAGAAAGGCTTTTTCTATTGTAATTTTCGGCTTATGAAATTCTTGCAGGACAACTGACCTACAATTAACCCTCAAACTTGATCCTAGCTTCTTGCTCCCCAAGTCCTACAGCATGGGAGACAGACTGGTGAGAAAGTGAGTGGCGTTTGCATCCTTGTACTTGCACAATGGAACTTTCCTCCCAGTGTATCACACTTGAAACTAAATGCTTCAATGGATGGCAACTGAGAATAGATAGATGACCATGTCATAAATCTGTCTCCCAGCTGCAACGCTGAAGCACAGAGAAGGCGTTTCAGCTGGCAGTGGCAAAGATGGGGAGTGATGGATCGCTTGCTAATCCATCTGCTCTTAGATTTGCTCTCCAATAGAAAATACTATTTTAATAAAGTGCTATTAGCTCATAACTCAGCGTTGTGGAGAGGAGAGAACCTCAGCCTGAGGTTGCCATCCTATACCCTGCACTGAGTGTTAACAAATAGCTAGCTGGGTGCCACCTCCACAGGGACATCATTCATCCTGCGAGTTGACAGCAAACCAAACTCAGTGATGAGGCTGGCAGAGGTGACAAACGCCCTGCATTTAAATCTTTGATGAGGCAGTAGTTGAACAACAGGTGGCCTTTTTTTCCTCCTTTCCTGTTGCATTCCACATGAACAGCAGCAGTGACATTAACTGGCACAGCTATTCAGCAGGCAGAAGGGCATGAAATCACCTAGCTGGTGGCTAGGAGCAACGTGCATAGCAAGAGGGACAAGGAATCTCTCTTCAAAAGTAGGATTTCGAGAGCTGGTACCAAAAGTGCCTCGGACACATATCAAGAGAGCTGGCTTCATCAGTCCAACACCCCATGGCACGTGATGTGAAGGAAGGAAGAGCAGTGTGCAACCATGAGAGAATGGATGAAGAACTTTATTTCCACAGGAAATAAAAAATGAAGTGTCAACACTGAGAAAAGCAGCACTTTCAAGCCTGACAGCTACAGTTGTCCCAGGCTGCACTAAAGAGTGACCAGGTGCAGAACTGCAGAGTGTATCAGCTACCCATGTTCCCAGCATTTCCCATACCACTAACCAGAACACAAGGATGTTGAGCTCAAACAATGGGATTAAAGAGTGGTCTTTAAAAGCCCTTAAAAACTCACTGAGAAAGTACTTCTGTACTCGGGCAAACCTAAGAACCCGTAGGTCAGCCTATGCTTCCTGCTGTCTTCCCTGCTACAGCAAGAGGTTACTTTAGCTAATTGTTCTCCTGAACCTGCAGTTAATCACTGCTGCACAGCGCAGAAGCACGGATCATAGCTGCATCACAAGCACTGTGCTCCCTCTGCTTCCATGTAGGGATTTGATGCAATCTGAAGGAGGAATTGCGTGAAATAGCTGAGACAGCAACTGCTGTGCCTCTCACACAGCTTTACAGCAGGATTCTCTTCCTGGCTATTGGTATCAGCAAAAGCACAGTCAGACAGCATAAGGACAAGACAGGGTACCTTTCCCCTCCTCCTCCAGCTCCTTTTGTGCTTCATGGAGATGATTATGGAAGTGAGAGCTGAAGTACTGAAGGTGTATGTCACAATCAGATTTTAATCACACAACATTAGACTGCTCGCTCGCATAATTCATTAGCAAGGGCTTTTTAGCAGTGGCTCTGCTTAGTTTTATTCCATCTCTTAGGGCTTAACAGAAATAGAATTCTAGTAAAATCTTAATACGAAGGGGAAAGCCTAGACTAGCTAATCCTCTAGTAAATCAATGGACTAAAAGGACAACTACACCTAGGCTGAAGGGGAGAGGCAAAAACGGCATTCAAGTTTATTGCAGTCAGTCAGAACATAAAGTATGCAGTTTCAGTTTATGCAGTGATTCCTCCCTTTCCTCTACAGCATGCTTCCACAGCAATGTACCTTGCAACCAGAAACGTTAGCGGGGCATGCAAGTCTGGGCACACACTACTGCTGTAGGACACCTGTCCTTAACAAAGGAGCAGCTTCTAAAATGCATCTTCAAATTCTGCCTTGGCATCCAGGGCAGATGGTGTCTGCCCTGTAGATAGCATCTAGAGAACTAGTATCAGAGAACTATTTTGAGATAAGATGGCAGCCCAAAACAGTGAAGGTTTGCAGCCTTGAGAACTATTTCTTTCCTGGTGTCCCACAAGGCTTCTATTTTGAGGACCCTGGTGACCAGCCCTGTTCCACTGCCACGCTCACAAGCTCTTGTCAGGGTGCATCTCTCAAAGCTCAGCAACAACCGCCAGAGAAATGGACAAAGCAGGGATTGCTGTCAGTTCCTGTTGGAGAAGAACATCTCAGCAAGGTACTCAAGGGCACAGATTTAGGTCAGGCAAATTTGCTTGCACAGTGTTGTTACAGAAGGGGATTCAGAGCAAAGCAGAGAGTTCAAATTCAGTTCAAAGTCAGAAAAAAGCGTAACAAAACCAAAAAAAACATGAGATTCCCTGACCTGTCTCTTATATGCACGCAGACGGAACAAATATCATCTGATCGAGACAGGCTCGTGTTCATGACCTGACAATAGCACCTTTCTCCGTTGTTCCTGAAGCGCAGCAAAAGACTCAAGTAGCAAGAGCAGCTCGGTGGCAGCCACCAGTAGCAAACAAGCCCCACTCATCTCTCTCTTCAGACCATGCTGGACACCTGTGTGCCACACAGTCTTACTGAGCCTTGCCCACTTATCTCCTTAGGGAGAAAGCTGATAAGCTTCAGGCAAAAATGTATCTAGGGCTGCTCTCAGACTAGCTGTAGAAGCAAGTACCCAGCTGGAGAAAGCAACCAAAGCATTGTGGGCTATCTTGTCAGGACAGACACATCAGAACCTGAGAAGCAGCAGTTCCTGCTGTAGCTCAGCAGTGTCTGAAGGGCTACCTAGCATCCTGAACAGTGCTTTCAAGACTGCACTATGGGAACTGCCAGTTGCTCCACTGAGTTCAAATAACCTTTTGTGCTCCAGAGAGTGTGTGCTGTTATCCTACAATGCTACACTGGCAGAGCATAAAAGCTCTCAGGCTTGGACCACTTACCACTTCAGCACCAAGGAGTCATGCTCCAGAGCTTTTAGTCCCTTGCAGTGTGGCACTGCAGGCTGGCTCTGCAGCCATCCTCCCAGAGACTCATGCACAGAGAAGACAAAAGGCAGCAGCCAAGCATCAGCAAGTGTAGCCACACCACAAGGAGTCCCAATGCTTCTCAGCCAGCCCACTGAACAGCTGTAGTTTCTCCTAAGAGTTGACTCCAAGATAACCAGGTGCAGCTGTGAACCACACCAGATACACCTCTAACACAAAGTCTACCCTGAGTCTGTGAAAGGGTGACAACGAGAGAGTAAGAAGTGATGCCATACAGAGGTGTGAGCAAGGAAGTATGTCATGGGCAGGATTTGTGGAAAAAAGATAAGAAATACCTCTGCTGGAGCATAAACCCTACAAAGTTAAACATATGAGAATAGCAGGCTTGGACAGGGCCTGGGTTCCCACAGGCCCATGTCACTGGGAGACCCCAAAATACTGTCAAATGGCTGCAAAGGACTTGGAGTTTGAGCTTCTCTAGCAGGACGGGCCATACAGACTAACACAGTCAATGGTGTTTCAGCAAGAGGGTCCTTTAATACAGTTGCTTCTGCCTTATTTAAACCATGTTGTTCTCTGGTGCACTTTAAAAACACAAAATCAAAGGCAGACTGAGGCAGTACCCCCTCCCCTGCACCAACGGACACATTTTTCTCGACACATGACTCCATCAAACATTTGCCCAAAAGACCCTCCCAGCATTTTCCCATGCCCACTTCTGCACACATGGTGGTCTGAAGCCTGCAGACTTCTCACACTGGTGTTCCTTTGGGGAAAGGCAGGAGTGGATTTCCACCAGTCCCTTTGCTTGCTTCAGCACCCTCTGTTTTCAGCCACTCCATCTTCTGTTTGTGTTGCTGCACAGCATCAGCTACTCTGGCATCGATCATGGCCTCTGTAAGAACACCGTCCTCTGATGCATAAGCTGCAGCCTGGAGAGGCAAAGGCAGAACAGACATGAGTCAGTGATGGTAATTCCTAGGATCAGTGAAGATCTGAGACTGGTCCCTCTCTTTTGTTTTCTTCTCCATGTATGTTTGCCCCCACACTACCTAGCACAACATCCAGTCTTGTTCTAAGTCAACGGTGGTACCCAGAGCAATCTGGCACATCGCCATTGGAAAGGATTTCCTTGATGCAGCTGTACCAGGGACTGAACTACATGGACTGCCCAAGCACAGAGAAATATTCATAGCTACACTAAAGACTTTGTCGCTGAGCTAGTTACAAGCACCTTGGCCTACCTGCCTCTGGAATTCCTAGGAGACAAGTTCTTTGCATTGGAAGAGGCAAGGCCACAGGTCCACAATGCTGAACACAGCCAGTATGGTTAGGCTGCAGTCATGCTTGGCTTGTTTAAAGCTTCCTCTCCTGCTTTAAAAGCACTGCACATAGGAAGCCAATAAGGTAAAGCATAATGGGTGCATATGGTGACTGAATGACTCCATCCAAGACAACAGAAAATGTTTTAAACATTTACATAGGAAAACTAACATCAGTGGTAGGGTGAATATGGGGAACGTGGCACCTCTAAAATGATGTCTGATGTGCACTAATCTTGCTTTCCTCATGTATTCTGCTAGGAATCTCTCCTGCATCACTTCGGTGTTGTGTCAGCTCCCACCCCATACTCATCTGCCTGCGGGACCCTTCCTTTGCCCCCCCTCCATTCACACCCCAACTCCTGTCTCTCCAAGTCTGCCTGGTAAATTAACACTTGGTTTTGTTGTTGCTTCGATAAGCAGTACAAATTTGATCCCAGCTCCTTGCAGAAAAGGCTGAAAACTACTGATGTCCTTGCCAAACAGCCCACAATATTTCCAGTGGCAGCTTAGGGGGAACAGGACTGCGTGCCATTTCCCTTCAGCTGCAGCAAAAGGATTGTCACTTTTGTCCAAAACGCAGGACAGCTAGGACTCCACTGACGGACATTTTGCAGGTAACACCACAAGCAGCCATACCTTCCAAGGAAGGCAAAGATGCTGATGCTATTAGCTGTACCCATCTCCAAGGTAACAAAGCAACTCCAAGCTACAGATTTCTAAATCTGGTTGCTGCCTGTGCAAGTGCTCCTGCAAGCAACTCAGTACTGTGGCTCCTTGTAGCGCTACGCTAGAGAGGGAGCGTGACACTAACCAGGGTGGGACCCCCTCCAGCTTCTCACATCCATGCTTCCTGCCCCAACCTTCTGTCCACATCTCTCCTTCCACAGAGCTACCACATCATGGATTGTCACGTGCCGACGCTCCTGTCTGCAGGACGTTCCCCATAATCCCAGTCAGGGATATAAACTTTGGCTTTCATGACAGGCTGAAGTGTGTTTCTGAGGTATTACGTACAGGCTCCATAAATCATTACCGGTGCAAAACATCAACTGTACCAAGCAATGAGGTTTACTGCAAAAGCACCACAGAAAGAAAGTACAGAGTGACCGTTTTATGCACCCACTGTCTGATGCTGTAGATGGGAGAAGAGACAAACCCCAGAGTCAGCTGTTGCACTGGTCAGTATCATCACAGAACTGACTAGCCCAGTACAGTATATTATACCTGCCTGTTCGATTACTGCTACCTCACTGCAGGAGGTATGATTATTTCAAGAAATAAGCAAAAGGTTACCCAAGTTGGTTTTCACCCTCCTCTAGCCTACTTGCCAGCACGCACTTGGTAGCCCTTTTTGGAGGACTAGCTCACAAGAGGTCTCACTGCACAAACCACATGTAACCACAGAGCTGGCAGGCGCTGGTTTTTACTGCAAGAAGCATCAAAACAGATCCTTCCCTGTGCAAAACCTTTGCAATCCTTCCTCAAGGCAGAAGTGACAAGTTAGGCTAATGCTCACACTTCAGGTTAGGAGTAAACACGGGCCGCAAGCAAGGAGAGCAGAGAAATCGAAGGTCTGCAAACAGAGGATTCACTTTGCATAAAGGCACTTGTCTGTATTCCATGACAGAGCAGGAGGCATCCTGAACACAGGGCAGTTACTTCCCACAAACCCCAGACAAGCACTGGTTCCATAACCTGCCTGCTGCCACAAAGATTTATACAACACGTATCCCAACATGACTGGTCCCCTCTCACCACTGTGGAAGGCGCATGGTGAAAAGGTTCTGGTTAGTAGAAACATCCTCTCGCTCACCCCGTAACACCCTCACCACCCCTTTCTTTTTTTTAATTTTTTTTTACAGGACATGACTGTGGACTTAAAGCTAAAAAGAGCCAGTATCCTTTTGTCAATGCAGTCCTCCAGCCAGAAGGATTTGGTGTTTTAACATGGAGTAAGTGCTTTCCTGGGATGTGCGTTATGAGCCTCCATGGAATAGAGAGGATGTCTCCCCTTCCCCCCAGCCGCTGCACAGCCCATAAATTCAACTGTGGAAACTCCTGCAAAGCTGTGCAGTTCACGCTCTGTTGATTTTCTCAATGACTTGCTATTTTTAGAAAGCCTCAGGCCCTAGCTGTCAAGAAAGCAAATGGGAGAAGCAGCTGTCCCTTCTGGGAGTAGCTTGCACACACACGAAAATGCTACTGAGCTTCATTTATATTCATACCTCTGCCTTCTGCATGGACAATTTTTAACCCTTTTTCTCCAGTGCAACTATTCATGGTTCATAACTCAAATCTAATTATGAAATAATCTGAAAACAAGGTATTTGGAGGGAAGCAGAGGGATGGAGCACAGATGACAAGTCCAGTCTAAATGACCTAATGTTCCATTTTGGCCAAGAACCGTGGTTTATTTCAACTTGGCCAAACTAATCTGTATCCTTTGAATTACATTTATAATGAAAACAGCCTGCTCAAAAAAAACCCCAACAAACAACGAAACAAAACCCAAGCACTCCCTCATCCCCTTCTGCTTACTTATAATGTCCTTCAGCTCAGACCACTAGAGAAACATTAAACTCTTCCCATAACTTGGTCAGGCAGACAATTTTTTAATTTATTTTTTAAATATAAACAAGGTTCAGGGAGCAAAAAGGCTTATGTCAGTGGCCCAAAAGGCAAAGAAATGACAGCAAGCTCACCTCTATCATGAACACTGGGACATAAACCTGGGAATTCTCTTGAAGTGTTGCCAAAACAATTTTCCAGAGGTTATGGCTTGAAATAGTGAAAGGTTGCCTTTTTGACATTTTATCTAAAGCATACCAATGGGTTCAAGTTCAGGGTGCAGAACTAGAAAGTCTGCACATTATAATAAACAGATCCAAAGGGAATTTTTAAGCGTGTAAATGCATCTAATCCATGCTATATTCATAAAGGATTAGATATGGGGAACGGAAAAGCACAAGGACAAAAGGGAATGCTCAGTCTTCCGCAGAAGAGATTAAAATGGATTTCTAGCATCCAGACTATTAGCTGTGCCAGACAGTAATATTTTTCCCAGCGCTAGAGGTTACATCCTCTGCTTTTCTGCATCTTATTTTTTTCTGTTTGGTAAATTCAGGACAAACTGAGTGAGACTGAAACAACAGTGAACTAGAACTTCATGTAAATGACAGCCAATCAACATCGAGCCCATCTTGCAGTGGAATTAAGCCTACGAAAGCTGCAGCTATTGCTCAAGCTTCTAGTTTAACTGTTTTTGTTAAAAGCCATATTGGCAGAGCACTGCAAAAACATCTTCATGGGAAACAACTGTGAGGCCACGGGACAGCAGCGTGGTTGTACGTTGCCGTTCTAGGTTACTCTCAGTAAAGGCCAACAGCTGTGACGGTTTCTACTCCTCCTGCTTCAGAACTTTTCCCCAAACCCTCTTTCAGGTTCAGTTCTGGCCATAAAAGATGACTCCAGGCAAGCTAAGTAGAGCTGATGAGGATCCGAGCATCTCAAAACTCCATCAAGTCCATGATAAATACCCTCCTGTGCTCCCTGTCCACTTCCTCCAGCACTTCTGCAGATTCAGGAATTTGGCTTGATTATGTTTCTTCACGCAGAGGCTAGGACTAGAATTGCAAGCAAGAAGGCTTCAGTCAGCTTGAAGGAGCAGGACAGACCCTGTGGAACAGAGCAATGCTTCACCATAGATTAAGCCTGCCATTCTGCTCCCTCTGCTTTTGTCTCTATTGTCCAGACACTGGTTGAAGTTTTGTTCCAAGACATGTCTTCAGAGGTATAATGCACACAGACAGCAACACTGCAAATGATTGCTGGAGGAATAAACTAATTAAGAAAATATATATACAAAGCTGAGGTGAATTAAGTGACAAGCATGTTGCAATTAAGCCTACACTTCGAGGATTAGCTCCAAGTCACATCAGGGCACCATGCAAAATAGATGAAAACAAAAGGCAAACAAAACACTCCCATCCAGCTCCCTGCTCCAGCATTCACAACCAGCAGTTTTCACTAGGGCTTTTTGCTGCCATCTTCCCCAGAATGGGTCAACTGAATTTATTTATTAAACAGAGACCTCAGGCATATTGCATTTCAGCAGCTGTTGTGACGAGCCTATCTAGGGAGTGTTGGAAGTTTAAATGTCTTGAGACATAGTTGTTTCAAGTCTGCTTTGAGGACTTCTAATGAGCACTAGGCTCACGACATCTGCTGTTTACCAGCTCTGTAAGGTGTTACTAAGATCAGAAACAGAACTGTTAAGAGAGATGCCTTCTTTTTCCCTTTTCTTGGCTCTTCCTGCTCCTCATCTTCTCAACTCGTATATAATCTCAAACTCTTTCTGCTTGTGTTGTTAACTTGACATAATGCTTTGGGTGGAGAGAGGGGAAAAAAAAAGCAACTGCAAGCAGGGAACTGAGTAGGAAGTCCAGACATTCACCTCAACTTATGGCCACAGAAAAGGCTCCCTAAATCCTCGAATTAAGCTGTTTTCTAGCTTCCTTATAGCTTCCAAGGCAGACAAAATTGTAGCTTGCAAACTGATTAAAATGAAAGTGTGTGTTCATAGAGGTGCTGCTCACATCAGGTAATTTCCCACATCAGCCATCTTCGGCATGCAGCATCTTGAATCAAAAGTTCAGTCATTCAAGAGTTTAAAAGACCAAGAGTTCAACAGTTAACAGGTCTATCTGTAGTATATAACTACCCTACAGCTGCTGCATCCAGTTGAGAAAAGTCCGATAAGCATCTTCTTGAGCCAGTTATAAGACCCTACCTACCCTGATCCTATCACTACATCCCTTCAGATGTGCCAGGACAATAGTGTAGCTATGCAGTTAACTTGTCCTGCCAAGCTATTTTTAATTCTGATCAGCTCCCTGACCCAGTTCATCGTACAGCCATACAAACAGGCACACCAGCACAATGGAAAAGATAGCAGAAAGGCAGGAATATGAGGCAGGACTAACGCTGACAGAAGTGCTTGTCAAACTGCAGCCTTAATCCTTCCCTGACAGGAGAGAGCATGGCATCGGCTACAAAGCTACCTACAACAAGCTATCTGTCAGCACGGACCCAGGCCCCAAAATACTGATACCATTCAAGAGATCACCTCGGGTTAAGAGTACATAAACCACCTGCTTAGAGAGAGGCTTTTAGCCACAGCTACTGAGGTGCCATACCCTTCATACTCTACACAGCCAAGAACAAAGGCAGGCATTAACGAGGCTTGCCACAGTCCGAAGTCAGTGGGCCAAACCTGGCATAAATGCAGCCTTCTGTAAAGCTCTAGTCAAGCTCCAGTCAGTTACAGCTCCAAATTCCTTGACCCAAGGAAAGAGAACCCTACGGTAGCACTTAGGATCAAGAGTTCTAGCAGGCAGCTCCCAGGGCAGTGTTCAATGCAGAAATCTGATCCCTTTTCGGATGCTCTCACAAACCCATCAGTAGACTCTATCCACCCAGTCATCTCCTGAGGAAAGAGGTCCACGTGTCTAGCCACTAGATGCAAAAAGCCTGTGCTATTTTAACACTGACCTATGACACATCACACTTCTTTTCTCGATCAATAAGGCATGATATGAAGTCCCTTGTTCCAGAACACCAACAACTTTGATTTTGACACAAATGAAGTTTCTTACAGCTTCTACATCAAAACAATTCATATCTTTTTTGCTCACCCTCTCCTACTTTTTTTTTTTTGTAAGCCCTTTGACTGTTTTATGACAGCAGAGAGGAACATAACCTCCTGCTGCAATTTTACATAGAACCTTGTTAATAGTGCTGGCACTATGAGGTACATTTTAAAAAGTGATCAGGGCAACAGCACTAAGGAATTAGTGACCCCACCTTCCCCTTCCTTCAAGATCACTTAAAGGACAAATGATAAAAGCTGAGGTCATACCCAGGGAGTAATGACAAGCTAGGAGATAAGGGGTGATAAGAAGAAAACCTGATAAAAAGCAGAGAATCATTTATCACTATTTTTATTACAGGAAATAGCTGGCAGCAAAGCCTTTCACATACATGGGTAAGGAGGTTTTCTTCTAAACAAAGAGAAATAAATTCTACAACAACTAGTGGTCTGCTTTCTCTCCCACATCACCGTTGCTTCAGTTTAAGACAAACATCCTAGGTCTGTATCCTGGGTTTCAAAATCAAAAGCCCTCAAAAAGCATAGCTTCACTTGGAGAAAGCAAAGCCATGATCTGTGGGTTCCGTGAAAGGCAGAATGGCCCAAAATTCTGGTCTTTCCATCAACCTGTCAGCTCTCTAGAACTGTGCCTGAACACATGCTAATTGGCCACCATGGCAGTCCATCTAACACCCATCAATATGCACCACCTCTCTCTGGATCTCAAATACTTGTCCAGCATCTTGCTAAGCTTCTTGACTGAACTGGTAACAATGCTAATCTGCTATGTTTTCAGGCAGTTAGAGAGCAGAAATAAATTAAAAATAAATAAAGCTTTATATACGTTTTCAGATGACAGCACACATTTTGAAATATGTTTCGATAATACACAATTCACATAGTAAAATTAACCAGCTGTGTGTTAACATACACAGAATAAAATAAAGGCTAACAGCACTCAAATGGCTGCTTTGGACCTCAGCTCATGACTGCAGCAGTTAAATGGACTAGAAAGGATAAATACTTCCTGTACCTTAAAAGATGGGAAAACAGTAGGAGGAGGAATGAAATGCACAAACTTTGTAAACTGCTAAACTAAATTAAAACAACTTTGTTTTTACAACACCTGAAAGGAAGCTGACATTAGTAAGTTACATGACATACAATTTGGAGTGTATTTCTTAAATCAATATTACTAGGTTAGTTTATAAAAATACACAATCCAGTAAGAAACTGGCAGCTGTGACAAAAGAATGTGAAAGTCTGATTAAAAAAAAGTGCTTAAGGTTGTTGAGCATGTGAACAATTGCACTCAAAGTGATTGTATTTCTTACTTCTATATGGATACCATGCATGTAGAAGCACCTAGTCTTTTCAGCTCCATTTTCCACTTAGTTTCATTCCTTCAATTACTCAAGTTGCACTAAAAATGTGTTTAGAACAAAGTAGGCCAGAAGGATGTTTCAGTGTCCTAATGCTATCACACCAACAGGCAACAGCATTAGGCACTTCTGCTATTGAGCTTCTTGAGCTGGAACACCAGTAACAGCCAGCATGATTTGCCCAAACTCATTCCTAACTCACTTGCTTTACTTAAATTCAGTAATTTCCCATTAGTCATTATTAAAACTGTTCCTATTTACAAAATGAGGAATTATGTTGATAGAACCCAGCATTCTAGTACTACTGTATGGACACAATGACACTTCCCAAGTGAGACAGTATCTGAGACTCCAACATCAAACACTCAAACCTTTCAGGAAGGGAAAACAAACCAAGAAGCTCAGTGATAAAAGCCCTACTTACCTGCCATGCCACAGCAAGCTGAGAGATCTCTCGGCCAGACATGCCCTCTGTCAACCTGGCAATCTCTGAGCACTTTTTCCCATAGTCAAACTGGGCCAGCTTCAAACGCCTAAAAAGCAGAAGAACAAGGATTAGTTTACGTGTAGCCACAGGACAGGACAGGAAGGTGAGGGAATCAGAGGGAGGCTTTGTGAAGAGCAACACTTACAACGAAATCAAAGATCAGATTGGATCAATCTCTACAGAAAGATCCAGCCTGAGTACAGAAGTAGTTCTCCCGGGCCTAGAAAGCCCAATTTTGTGGTACTAAGAAAGGTGCATACCTGGATTAAGACCAAAGAAGTGCAAGACTGCACAGCACACAAGGAAACGAGTCACTTGGTCTGATTTTTCTCTGTTAAGCCAAGCAAAGACACGTGCTTGGATATGAGGAGTTCCAACAGTGTTCCTACTTGGATTATGGCCTCAATGCAGTAACTGGTCTCCTAACTTTTGAGGGCACAACAAACCACGGCACGGAATTCTAGGATGGCATTTCATCCTGTAACAGGATAGCAAGATGCATCTCTCCGACTCTTATCTGTACTACTTGTTTAAAGTGGGTTTATAGACAGTGGGACAGAATATACAGAAAAGGAGATGAAGAAAAACAGTAAAAGAAAGAGAACCCTATGGGGTGGGAGAGTTCTGCAGGGATACTCACTGTTTACCCTCTGTGGCTGGCTTCAAGACATGCCTATCAAAATACATCCTCACAAGCCGCTCCCGTTCTTCTAGCTGGGGCAGATCGAAGTTCACCATTTCGTCTATTCGGTCATTGATAGCCCAATCGAATTGCTCAGGCTGGTTACTTGCTAAAACAAGCATAAACCTGCAAGTATGAAACAAGAGAGGAAAGCCTGAAAAACCCATAAAAATAAAAATCAATGAACCGTTCTGAACACTGGGGCCTGCCATGGTCAGCATCAAAGACATTTCCTCACCCAACATGTCTGAAGATTCCTCAGAAACAGCTTTGTAACAGCATCTCGAGCGACATACTAAAAGGCAGTGCAGTTTAAGCTATTTAGAGCCAAAATACGTTTAGCTTAGTATTTAGCCTCCCAATATCAGCCTTCCCCAGTTTGTCCTTGCCATAGAAGCCCCATTTATCACTTTACCCACAATCTCCCTCAAGCTAGGAATATCACAAACATTTAGCAAGAGTACAACCTCCCAGAGACCTCTAAGTCTGAAACCTTGGAAGAAGGCTGGACAACATGGAGAGATATTCTATGGCACATATACATCTCCAGTTTAAATCCCAGTTTGGGGAACTGACTTCAAGCTGCTAACTGCACAGCACACTAGAATCGTGAGGGGCTTAGTCCTGCTCTGGAGGTATGAATGGCTGCCAAACTGAAAGTCAACAGCATTACTGAAACCTCTGACAGCTCAAGGAGCTGCAGAGCATTTAATGGACTCATCCTGGCATAAGAATAAGGGGAGCGTACCACTGCTGGGTCTGTGTGTGGGAAGGTCATTCTTCAGCAGCTGGTAAAAGTGGACTTGT